TTTTTCAAAATTTTATGATATTTTTAAATTTATATTTTATTCAAAAATAAAATCATTATTGTTTTCTTAAAAACACATAAAAACATCGATAAAGACAAATAATAAAATAGAACATTAAAATCGAGATGTGTCTCGCTGTATTGCGTGAGTATTCTTCTAGTTATATTATAAAGCATTTAATAAAAACTCTTAAAAACCATCTTTTGTGATGAAGTACTGTTTATTGATGCATATTACTTAAAATTCAAGATTACAAGTAAATTGTGCGTAAATACAACCTATTAAAGTTTTATGTTTGAATTTGTGTAACTAATTGTATATAAACATAATCAAATAAATGATAAACATCTTATTTTAAATACAAAAAATCTAAAATATAATTAGAATAATCATTGAGTTGTAACAAAATACTTAATTATTATCTGAAAAAAAATTATATTATTAAATAAAAAAATATGAATTAAAAAATATACAAAAAAAGGGGAATTTTTAAATACTTGGTTTAGTACTAATATATAAAAAATCACTTTTTTATGATATCTTCATATTTATATTTTTATTCAAAAAAACATTATCGTTTTCTCAAAAACACATAAAACCATATTATAACATCGACTGAGACAAAAAAAAACGAAACATTAAAATCGAGATGTATTTCACTGCATTGTGCGAGTATCTTCTACTAATTATTAGTTGATGGTAGTTGGATGTAGGGGTGTTCAAAAAAACCGTTTGATCGCTCAAACCGGATCGTTTTTTGGCGGTTTAAGCAAATTGGCGGTCCGGTTTGGTTTGGAAAATAGCAAAACCGGGCGGTTCAGTCTACGGTCCGGAACCTTTTTTGGACGGTTTGGACAAAATCGTCCGCCAAATACATACATACATACATACATACATACATATATATATATATATATATATATAATAAATTTGATAAAAAGTTGAAAATCCTCTTTTTTTTAAAGTCACATAAATTTATAAAATAAAATTGTAAAAAATAATCATGTATTATATTATATTACTTTTTTTTATTAACCTGTATATCCAACCCGCTATGCGAGGCGACCAATTCCTAGATGACCATCTGCTTTGTGGGTAGTCCGAAGTCACCGCATTTGAACCTCTATGGATTTGAACCTGGGACCTCTAAGTACTTTTAAACGTTGGAATTCAAGTTTAAACCAATCAGGCACCACCCTTATGATTTATTATATTATATTACTTGTAATTTAAATAAAAGAAAGTACAAAAAGAATCATTTCACTTGCAATAATATTGTTTAATTATTTTTACCAACTTGATTTATATAGTGATTTTTATTTGTTCAAGTTGCTCTAACAAATAAAAATAAAAAATAAAAATATTAAAAAAAAAGATTCTTTTGTTAAATAACACTTGTAACTTGTAAATTATGTTATGAAGATGAACAAGAGATAATGACTACATACAAATAAATCATATATTTTTTATATTAATATATTTTTTTTTAATAAATTGGCTCGTCGTTGATTTTTACAGCTGTAAGTTTTAACGGTAATTGATTATGCTATAAAAACCAGCACATGAAAAGTAATTTCTGTAAGAAAAAAATTCAAAGACAAGTGTTGTAGACGATTTAATTGTCATCGTAAATACGAGTAGAAATCAACAACGATTTGAGTTACGTTCAAGTGTTCAAACAAGGATATCGTTAGAAAACGATGACCATCCTATAGTGGTTGTGATGACGACAATGATGACGTGGTAGTGTTGGGGTTGGTGGCAGTTGTGATGACGACAGTAGTTGGTGTTGAGGATGAGTGGTGGTGGGTGGCGGTGTGATGGCGATAACATACACAAAATAACTCCAAAGACCCAAAGCCCGATTAAGATACTTTGTAACTGATCCACGTCTCGGTCCCGGGCCGGACCCAAATCGGTCCCACTTTTTTTAAAGAAAAAATTGATTTTTTACATTTAATTTTTTTAAAGAATACAAAAACGTTATTGTAATACACTTTAAAATATGTAATATAGTCAATAAAATACACTTAAAATATACATTTTATTATAATTTGTTAAAAATGGAAATTGGACACGAGCCGAAATCACGAATTATAATGAGAATTGTGAACGTCTTTTTTGCATTTTTGAGTTGATATATTCCTCCATACGCCATATGACTTATTTATATTGTATATAAAGAATCAATGGAACAAAAGTGAAAAAAAAAGGTCATATGAGCGACTATAAAAAACATAACATTTTCTGGAAAAAAATCGGGCCGGGCCC